GGAGGAGCATGTGGGCCGGACGGAGACTTCTCTAGGTTTGGTTTTGTTTTGTTGTTGGAAGGGGCAGGGCCATAACACTTTCGTACTTCCCTGCCCTTAGACCCTAATTGGTCTGGGGGTGGGGGAGCGTGCAAAGTCCTTCCCTCCGCCCCTCCCCCCAAGAGAACCACAAACTGCTTTGAACAGCTGGCAGTTCCCTCTAGGTACCTGTGCCTTTGGAAGTGGGAAGAGACTTTGCGTGCCCGCCCCAGCTGCCCCCAGGTCAATCAGAGCCTGGGGACGTGGAGCATGTGAAGTCTCTCACTCCCTGCCCCTGCCCTACAAGGGAGCACTGCGCTTAGAGTCAATTGCCAGCTGAGCAGCAGCTGGTGGTTGACTTTAAGTGCTAAGCCCCTTGCAGGGTGGAAGGAGACTTTCCACGCTTCCCCCCTGCCCCCAGCCCTGATTGGCTTGGGGGTAGGCAGGAGCGGCAAGGCCTCCGTGGGCCAGATCAACTCACTTGGTGGGCTGCATCCGGCCCATGGATGCCCTTTTGTCCACCCAGCTATAGTCCTTTGACATTCATAATGCTTCCACGTGTTCAAATCCCATTTGCCCCACAGGGAGCGGTTACATGCAGTCCTGGCCCACAATAATACATAACATTTGCATTTAGTACGCTGGACTCCAAAGACTTAATTCAATTAGGATTTTCAAATTCTCTGTGTCCCATTAACACACTTCAAAATTGAAAGCAAATGAGTGACAGCTGGTTTCTAGTTAATCCTTAACATTGTATTTGGGACAGAAGGAAATCCATTACACGTAACAACTGTAGTTATATCCATAATAGAAACATTTTGCAATCCTAACCATAGTGGGTGTTTCCTGTATTTGTTACTGCAGACTCAGCTGCATGGTATGTTGGTGGGGTTGCTTTATAATCTTCTGCTGATTTAATGAGTCCGTCCTAAGCTTCTTATTGAACAAAATGATAACTTTCTGCACCACAGAGATTCATTTCCTTTTCTAATACCAAGGAAGATACCAGCTGGAGGGTGGTTTCTCTGGAGTTGAGTGACAAGGGGAGGGATCACATGAGGATTACCTGTTGTGATCCCTCTGTCTGGGGCATCTGGGGCACTGTTGGCAGACAGGATACTGGGCTAGATGGACCTTTGGTCTGACCCATAAGACTGTTCTTATGTTCTTACTGCATTTTAAAGGGACGTAGCCCGTGTTATGGAGGAGACCAGATTAGATGATCATAAAGGTTCTTCTGTCCTTAAAATATAGGAACTGCGATGTAAAGAGACACTCATTGTGAGATTATCTTTCATTACTATCCAGTAGAATTAAACTCTGTTATTGTGTAACCCACACACTTATTCGGGTTCACTGTCCCATACAGTGGCAGCTAGACCACAGCAACAGATAAGAACAAGAGACCTCTACAGCATGGGCTGAGAGAGAGTTATCTTTTAGCACAATAGGTAGCGGCTCCTATGCTAAGATTCAGAGGTCCCAGGTTCAAATATCCCCCTTCCCCCAGTGGTGGTTACAGGTTAAATAGCATGTCTTTAAAACATTACTTTGAAAAACTTGTAAGGGCCTAAGAACAACACAAACAAATAAGCTGAGCCCACCACTTCCTCCTTTTCTGCGCATTCATGTGCCTGCTATCTCTTCTGTTTCAACTTTGCTGCTGCTGTTACTGTGGGCATATTACAGATTTATGTAGTGGCATGTGATTATTTTCTGTTTTATTATATCACTTTCCTAAAGATTACTAGCGTTGTTTGCTTTTTTGGCTGCTGTTGCACATTGAGTGGATGATTTCTGGGAACTATCGAAGATGACTCTAAGAGCTCTGGCTTGCACGGTAACAGCTAATTAGACCCCACATATATTTTGTATATATCTGAGATCAAGGCCCTCACATAGTGCGAGAGGGAGGGAAGTATACACTTTGCCAGGCTCAGAGGCCTTGGGGAGGGAGGTCCAGCCAAGGCTTCACATTATTGGTTTGGAGGGGGAGCGGGGGGAGACAGCATGTTACAAGTTTGCTGGGCTTGAAAAAATTATGGTTGGGTCCTAGCTGGTATTATTTTTTCCTATGTACATTACTTTTCATTTAACAACACCGAGTTTCATCTGCCATTTTGTTCTCCAGTCACCCAAGTTTTGTGAGCCCTTTCCAACTCTTTGCAGTCAACTGTGGATTTAACTGTCTTGAGTAATTGAGGATCATTTGAAAAATTTACCACCTCACTGTTTTCCCCTAAGTATGAACAGTGTCAGAACAAGCATGGCTCAATTAATATTTTTGAGCACTTGAATAATGAGGGTTGATGTTATTGATGAATAATGCTGGTCTGTATGGTGGTTCAACGGATTCTATGTATATACTTTCTTATCTTTTTAGGAATGTTATGGTAGAATCTTAAACCAATACTAAGGCCTTGAGGGTTAGCTGTCGAAACACTTTTTCATGGAGACTTGTGTCTAAATTTACACAAATCAAATTCAGTGTCCCAACTTGACCCTTACTAGTGTGCCACCATAACTACACATCACGAGGTTAAAAACCACATTGCTGACAGCTCCTGCCTGTCTGACCCAGTCAAAATGAAGATTGTTTCCAGTGTTCTGGCCACCTTCTTAAAAATCCAATTGGCATGAGCCAGCCCAATCAGCATTTCTAGCTAGTAGACTTCCTGGGCTTAGCCTCCCAAATGTTTTTTTTTCTTCTAGCCAAAACAAGTGTAAACACCTCCAAAATAATAAAATGTATCATGCTACCCAGGATACATTAGTATTTGAGTGCAACTGAGCTCTGAGACTCTCCCACCTCACAAGGTGCTAGAGCCCAGTCTCCAACCGGAGCCCAAATATGTACACTGGAATTAAACAGTCTCTTGGCACAAGCCCCATAAGTCAGCTGGCACAGGCCAGCAGTGGGTTTTTAACTGCAGTGTAAATATACCCTAAGTTTGTCTCACCCAGATTCCTCAAAACAGTCTCCTAGGTATCAGCTCTCCACCCTCTTGGCATCCATCCATCCATAAATCCATTTCCAGAAAAAAAAACCACCCTAAATAATCACCACTTCCTGAAGGAGAAAGAACTTGCTAACTGGAAAGGGGCCAGGGCTCTCTGGATAAACACTGCAATGCAGCTACGTAACTGTCCTTTCATACTTGTACATGAAGTTACTGCCTAACTGTGCAAGCATCAGCTGATGCATCGTTAAGTTGATGAGTGCTCAGTTTTGTGATCCCATGATGGGTCCTTTGAAAGGAAAGAATGGGACAAGAATGCAGCCTCTCATTAATTCTTTATTTCCCTCTCCCTCCTTTTTAGACACCGTAATCTGTTCCTTTTACTCCTTGTTCTGCAGTCCCCACATGAACACTTATGTCGGTGACAAACCACAAAACATCAGATGTTGCTCCTAAGTTTATTTCTGGGGCTTGTTCCAGCCAGTGTAGTCACTCTCTCATGGCGTTTTAAGGGTTAAGACACAGATATATAGATATATATATACATGGTAGGCTGTGTTCTAAGTATGGGGCGCTGATTTCTGTCATTGGGAAGGAAGCCTTCACCTGCGTAATGAGCATTGCCAACCAGGCTAGCTAGGGCAGCACACCATCTTCAACCTGGTGGCTGCATTCTGCTTGGGTGGAGCGAAAAGGCAATTCCACAATCCATGGAAGACAAATTGACAGCTAAAGGAATAATGCGTGACTTTACTGAATACATAGCATATTATTGCACAAACGCGTCGGGAATATATTTCTGTTTACAAATACCGAACATATGTATAACATACACTCTCTAGTGTTTCTACAGTCATTCTCACAAATGTAGCACATTTTTGGATGGCTCTTACAAAAAAGGCATGCAATAATTTTGCATAGTTATAGGAAAAGTTGTATACCCTTGTTTTACAAATGCTTGAAACTAGCAGATTATGTAGCAGATTATGTATTGCGTTATCTGGATGTTTGCACTAACGCAGTGTGATGGACTGGAGGTTCTGAGGTCACAGAACACATGTAGGTGGTCATGGACAGGAAAAGAGGAGAGAATTCTGCAGCTGACGGGGACCAGTAACATGGGGACAGATTGCAGCTAGCTCAGCGTGGTTAAGGTTAAAAGAGCCTTTCAAACCCAAATCACCACATTATGTCTATATAATGGGTACAGGGCGTCCTTGCTATAAGTCCAAGATACGTTCCAAAAAACATGGACTTATAGAGGAACAACTTCAATGAGGGAATAAGTCCCGTGTCTGACTTCCATTTAAGCAAATTGGGGGGAGTGTTTTGCACGACTTATAGTGGGGAATGGGAGGACTTATAATGCATCAGTTCCTACAATGACATTAGTGTGGAACGGATGTATACCAGGGAAACTTATAGCAGGGACCCCTTGTATTATATGCGTCCTTGCATTTCTGGCATATAAGAGAGATGCATCAGTTCAGATTAACTTTTGCATTAAACCCCCATATACAGTTTCATCATCACTGCCATACACCCACACACATTGCACCGACATGAGAGAACTGAAAACAGAGGGAGTATAGTCAGCATCTTTTCAATGGGCACTACAGTTCCAGGAACTACTTCTGGGCTGTAGTTTATCTGCATCCCTGCCCTCAACTCAGACTGGCTGTGAACAACCTACAGTTCATGGAATTTTTATAAGCATCTTGCATAATCATACCTATGACATTTCATTACACCAATCATGATATATATGGTTCCAATTATTCTCTTTTGGGAGAAAGTGTTTTGCTTCTTTTAACAATGTCGATTTATCAGCCAAGCTGGTCAAATTTCTGGCCAACTATAATTCGATTAGGAAAGTATCGGGAAAGATTTACCTTTAAATATCACTGATAGGGAAGTAGTTAGGTTTTATAGCATCCTCATAAATTCACTAATTTAAACAGATAAGAGTTAAAATATCTAACTCTCTTCATTGTTTGATTCTCCCACCCCCCTTTTTAGGCTGATTTCGACAGTGCTGCAGAAGATGTAAAAAAATTAAAAACGAGGCCAAGTGATGATGAACTGAAAGAACTATATGGACTCTACAAACAGTCTACAATTGGAGATATTGATACTGGTACTTTGTGTGTGCACATGCATGCCCCTTACACGTACATTTAATTATGTAAATGTAATCAGACTAGATAATCTGTAGGTGAAATGGTATAATAACCACAAATGTATGCCCTTTTTTGGCAGAGTGTCCAGGAATGCTAGATTTGAAAGCCAAAGCCAAATGGGAAGCTTGGAACCTTAAAAAAGGTCTCTTTACTATAAAGTTTACACTAATTTTAATTAACTTTATTGAATACCAAATAAGGAACGGTAATGACTACTGCTTTCCTTTGCAGGTTTGTCAAAGGAGGATGCTATGACTGCCTATATTTCTAAAGCAAGAGAGATGATAGAAAAATATGGGATCTAGGAAACTCCACAATAATACTCATTAATAATTCAATAACTCTTCAGTAGCTAATGAACTAACTCTTTTGAGGAAAAAATGCAATACTAACAATTTCATGTTTAATTAGACACGAAGAATTATTTACCTATACAGGAATATTTACACATGCACTGTACTTAAGACACTAAATTGTACTTATTTTAAATAAATTGTTACCTACAAGATTTATTTAGGATTTTAAATAGTGTCGTCTCTTTCTTATTTTTGAGGCAGTAGAAAGATCACATTCCTCCTCCTGTCCAGCCGAACTCAATTCAGAAGACAAAACTACTTATCCCTTCCTGTGTCCCAAAGATGTAATGGGCTACAGGGGGATTTTAAAAGAGAGGAGAAAAAAGAGTAATTTTTAAGATAGAAGGTTCAGATTAAAGAGGTTTTAAATAATTCAGATTTAAGGAAACATTACTTACTTCCTGGCTTCAGTGGTGGATAAAAATATGTGCACAAATATCTCTGCCTTCTGTTATAGTCACAAAAATATTGGTTTAGAAAACCCACAATTTGAAATTGAAGTATCAGAGGGGCAGCTGTATTAGCCTGCAAGGGTATGTCTACACAGCGGTGCTATTTCAGGATAACGATTCGGGATTCTGCACATCTTAACAGCACGCCCATTATTTCAAAATACATTCAAAATAACAGGCTTTTTATTCCGGCTTCCTGTAAAACTTGTTGCACAAGGATTAAGGAAGATACCAGAATAGAGATTTATTTTGAAATTAGTACTGTGTAGACTTCAAATTGCATAGCTTATTTCGAGGTATGCTCTACTATGTAGACATACCCCCATTGAATAAATTTAAACAACAAATAGTCTCTAAGGTGCTGCAAGAGTATTGTGCAGAGGACAAATAAATAGCAGAGAAAGAGAGGGGATGCCTGAAAAAAAGCAGCAGAATGTCTCTTGCACAAGAGGGGGGATTTTGCGCAAAAAGGAGCCTTGTAGACAGTTTTTTGCGCAAAAGCCCCTTGCTCAAAAATGACTGCTCATTAAGTATGCAAATGAGGCATAGCGATATTCATCGCTTTGCCTCATTTGCACATTCTCTTGTGCAAGAGGGGGCAGTTTAGACGTAACCATAGAATGCGTTCAGAGTACTTTACGTATCCGGTGTTTGGCTTTTTATGTCATTAGGGTGTGGTATATCACCCCTATAGTCGGCAACTTAAACCAACCTATCCTGGAAAATGACACCTCTCACAGGTCTTAGGGGACAAGCCAATCCTCACCTACAGACAGCCCCCTAACCCAAAACACATTCCTTCCTGCAACCATGCACCACATCTCGAACACACTCACCCAGGAACCCACCCCTGCAGTCAACTCCGGTACCAACTCTGTCTGCACATCTATACAAGTGACATCACAGGATCTAACCACATAAGCTACCACATCAAAGACTCATAATTGCATATCCACTAATGTGATGTCTGCCATCAAGTGCCAGCAATGCCCCTCGGCCATGTGTATTGGTCAAACTGGACAGTCTCTGTATTACAAAGTATTACTCAACCCAAATCAGATATTCAAAATGGTAACACACAGAAATCTGTTGGAACATTTTACCTTGCCCGGACACACATTAAAGCAGTGGTCTCCAACCTTTTTAAGCATGAGATCACTTTTTTAATTTAAGTGCAATTCAAGATCTACCTCAAACTCAAATACCCTTGTCCTGCCTCCTTCCCGCTGGCCCCACCGCTGCTCGCTCACGCCATCCCTCCCTCACTTTCATCAGGCAGGGATGCAGGCTCTAGTCTTGGATTAAGGGATTTGGAGTGTAAGAGGAGCTCTGAGCTGAGCATGGGACAGACAGGGTGCCAGAGGGGGCTCTAGGGGCAGGCTCTGGTAGGGTGTTAGGATGCAGGAGTGCTTGGGGCTAGGGCAGGGACCTGGGGTGCAAGAGGGGTTTCATGACTGGGGTAGGGTTTCAGGATGTGGGCTCTGACTGGGCACTGCTTACCTAAGGTGGCTACTGGATGATGGTGCAGTGAGGCTATGTGATAGCACGTTGGGGTTTCCCCTCTCCTGCACCCCCGTAGTGGCATGAACCAACTCCACCAGCTAGTAGGATTGAGGGAGTTTATTGCTTCTCCAAGATACAGCACGGATGCAATCTGGTTACAGGAACTGGAGCTAGGAGGCTTCAGGGCCCCACCCCCCCCTTGAGATGGGGGGTGGCTGGGCCCTACAATCCCAGCCCCTCTTCCTAGCCCTTTTTCCCCCTGCTTCCCAGACAGAAACTGACTCTCCTAAAGCCCTGCCCCCCAGACAGGGTTTGGTCTCCGCCTTCCTCCCTTTGTCTTTCTCCCTGGGAGGCAACCTGTGGGACAGGTTGTGAGACCCTTGCCTAGTGACTCATCTGCTGTCCTGTTGGGCCGTGCTACAAATAGCTGCCAGTGGAGGTCACCCACTGCCCAAGCCCAGCAACCAGCAAGGCACCACCATACCACACTGGGTTATACAGCAGACAGCACGCCCCTACTACGTCACAGACTAAGGCAGGCTCACCCCGCCCTGAACCTGCACCACTCCCAAAAGCAGCCAGCAAACTCCATCCCAAGACCTGTTGTGTCCCCTCTCTGCTCTGGGGAGATAGGATACAGGATGGGAGAGGGGACATCTTAACATCAGCTCCTCTCCTCTCCCTTCCCTGCCCTGCCCTGCCCTGCCCTGCACAGAAAGCAGGGAGGCTCCTAAGGTGTGAGAGGAGGCAGCTCCAAGGCAAAGGACAAGAGGTGCGCAGCCGTAGGGGGCGGGGCGTACTTGATCGCCTCTTGGCCAAACCAGTCAGGATCACCTGTCAGAATCTCCAAGATCTACCAGTAGATCCCGATCAACTGGTTTGTGACCACTGCATTAATAGATCTTAAGGTGACAATATTATTACAAGGCGATTTCAAAAAACAGCTGGAGAGAGAAGCTGCATAACTTGATTTAATTTACAAGTTTGACACCTGCAATAGAGTTTTAAACAAAGACCTTCGCTGGATGGCCCGCTACATTCCACACCCTAATGACATAAAAAGCCAAGCACCAGGTACTTAGAACCCACTGACAATATATTTTTCCCTTCTTTCCCTCACCATCCCTCCTGGAGCCCTTAACTCCAGTCATCTGAAAAAGTGAGTTGTGCCCACAGAAGCTCATGATACTATCTACATTTTCTGTTAGTCTCTAAAGTGCTGCAAGACTATTTGTTTTTAAGTTTATTCAATTTAAATGGAAATAACTTTGGGTCCCCTTACTTCCCACAGAGCTGATTTTTTGTTTCCATGCTTTGTTGAGCTAGTTCAAGCTATAGGTAAAGGCAGAGGGAAGCCACTGAAATCAGACATAAATATCTTTACAGTGCTCTTAGCCTACTATCCTTCCACCATCCTAAAACTCTATCCACTATAGGGAAGCAAGTTAATTCATTGGCTGCTTATTGTTAGGAATCAGAATTTTCCTAAGTATCACAATGAATTATATCCTGGAGAAACCTTTGGCTGTAGGATGCATGCAGCAGTATAAATGCATCAACTGAGTGCTTTGTCCTGTTGCATAACTTATATCATGGTAGTAGTAAAATTGTATAGAAAATGTCCCATATTATTTACTGCTTTGGATAAATCTTTGACTCCTCTACCGACAAATACTCAGAGATCAGCAGTTTCTATACATTTTGTCATATAGTTTGCCATGAAAGTTTCATTAGCAGGGTTCATCAGATATAAGTGTCCTCCAAGAAGCTTGTGAATAGTGGTATCTCTATTTGTTACATCCTTTCATGCTGAAAGATAATTAAACATGTAAAGCACAAGAGAAATATCAGCTTGTGTAATTTATGTTATGTAACTTGTTTCAATATTATTGAACTCTTCCTAATTCTCTGATTCATTTTGACTCGTATTGCAAGAGTCCTTCATATTTCCATATAAATTAAAATGAGATTATGTGCAGAACTGATCATTAATCTAGTGCAGTGTTTCTCAAACTGTGCTCTGCAGAGTCCTGGACATCTCCAGGGGCACCGCGAGGTTGACAAACTGGAAACGTGGATACGTACAACACATACAATCAGTGGACCGCTGGGGCTCCGCATAAATTTTTACACATGTAAAGGGCTCCAGAGCCCAAAAAGTTTGAGAACCACTGATTAGTGCAACAGAAGTATAGCTAAATATTAGAGGCAAAGCGCACTAGCTAGTTACCTTCTAAATCAAATGGCCAATCTTCAGACCCAGCAAAGCATGTAATGTCACAAGAGAGACCATCTATTACCAGTTCCCCAAGGTTGTGAATATAAAGAAGAGCTTTGTCATATTGAATCTTTCCACTTTAGGTTTCCTCTCCAGACACAATATCTTTCTTGTCCTTGCTCAAACATAATAAAACGCTTTGCCAACCTACTCTTTAGTACAGAATGCAACCTACCATTTACATACTATAAGTGTGGTGGGGAAGAACTAAAGGAGAAGTTGTTTTATCTTTAAGATTCTAGGCTGGATCTTTTAAAATGCTGTTGTTTTCATTACATAAATGCTTTTATCGTGAAAACAAAGATTCAGGGACAAAAATCGGAGAGCCTTGTGTGATAGGTCTCAGTACAGGTGAATGTTCTATTTCAGGCTATGAATGAATAGTTCTAGTGTCAGAACCTAATGTAAAATGGTGCTACTTACAGAAAGGACTGAATAACTGCAAGTTCTGCTCTTAATGTAAGAATGAATTGTTTTATAGCACTTTTGTCCGGCAGGAGCTCAGAAGGAATATTTCCAAAAGATTGTACCTCCTTGGTAATTTCTTCATTGTCTTTGTCTTTTACTGTGTAGAGAGGATAAAAAAAATGTTTTCTGAAAGCATCATACAAATAAGTTAAAGGTTTCATAAAATGCACTATAAATCAGGGGTGGACAATAATTTCTGATGGGGGGGTGCTCACTTCAACATTTTGGTAAGTGGTCAAGGGTCACACTTTTCTACAGAGGGAGTGGAAGGCCTAGAATAGAGGTTGGGTGAAGAAGGGAGCTCAGGGTACTGGAGGGGGTGCAAAAGAGGGTATGGGGTCTGTGAGGAAGTTTGGCTGAAGGAAGGGTTTGTGACCTGGGATTGGGGTGCAGAGTCCAGAGGGAGGTATGGGTGCAAGAGAGGATTTTGGTCTGGGGGACAGGTGCAGAAGGGATGTAGAGGGTTTGGGTTATGACCTGGGACAGAGAATAGCAAGGGGAGCAGGGTCGGGGAGGGAGCATGAATACAGAAATGGCCTGGGGAGGAATATAGCAGGGTCTCAGAGGAAGTTGTAACTGGGGGGGAGGGGAGGACTCCAGAGGATTTATATAGTGACTTGGGGCAGTGAGGGGGGGCATGCGGGGGGGGAGGGGGGTGCCAGATACAAGCTTGGGTTGGCATGAGCTTACCTAGGCGCCTGCATTCAGGCCAGCAGCCTAGCAGGATCCTCAGACAGACTCCCAGTCTGCTGCCAACCGAGGCCCCTTAAAGCTGTTGGCTGTGGGAGCCATGTGCCTCTCTGGGCCATGCGCCCCTTACAGGCGTGTGTGTGGAGACTTCATGTGCTGCCCTGCTCCCAGCTTAATCATTGCTGCTCCTATTGGCTGGCTTCCAGCTAATGGAATCTGCAATGATTATGCGGGAGGCAGGAGCAGCATGCAAAGTCTCCCCACACCCCTTGCAATGGGCACATGCACCTAGAAGCACATGGCACCAGCAGATGGCCACTTTGTGCAGCCTGGGACTCTGATAGGCAGGGAGCCTGCCATTTAGCCCACTCCTGATCTAACCTATAGTATTTTCCCCTGTAGCATAGACGTTGCATTATGGTTTAGTGGCTGGCTGATTGTGTGAGTTTTGAAATCTTATTGGGATGATAATTTTGGAGTAAAACAGAGGTTGCCCTAACACTGCTGTAGAACACACTGTACCGGTTATTCAGGGGTAATAACAAAAGACATTGCTAAAGCTTTGTGTCTCTCTTGCAGCAAGAAAATAGTTTCTGAAAATGTAGCTTGTGAAATAGACAAGCACATTCAAGAGCTGGAATTCTTCAGAAATATAAAGTCTATTCAACTTGTGCTGTGAATTCTTTATTTTAAGTGCTGAGAGCAAACTACCAAAATAATGTCTTTATCAGAAAGTGAAGCATTACTGTGGACCTAAATTCAGCTGCAATGGTGTTTGAGGAACCCACCATGCAGAAACCTTGTTCCATGGACAGATGAGATGTCATCCAAATACACAGTTTCTCAATGGTGCAGAGGGAAAAGCAGTAGCTGTTGCATGAGAAGCAGCAGGATGGGGAAAATGGCCAAATCCCTGCTGGTCCCCTGAGAAGCACTCAGGAGAGGTGAGGAAAGAGGAAAAGCACCAAACAAGGGGTTTAGAAATTAAGGAGAGGGCAAAGGTACCAGGACTGAGCAGGAAGTCCAGGAGAGGGCTTTATGTGTTAGGAGGGTAAGGTATGCTTCCATTTCTGGGAAGAAGGTAGTCTGGTTTTTGCCTACATGCCTATCTGAATTATAACTACATCACCATAACAGAGAAGAGGAAATGCTCTTGCTACCTCAAACTAAGCTCCCCCACAGATAATGGAATATATATGTGGTTGCCTTTTTTTCTATACACTTTACTAAACTCTGCATATTAAGGTAGCATCACCTGCACTTTGGAAGGCCAAAGCAAGTACTTTACACATGATGGTTTATTAGTAAATCCTATGTTAGTTCATATTATCAAAGATGGTATCACTCATATGTGGGGGACCTATACTTGATATAAAAAGATGTACCGGTTGTAGTCCATATTTTTCTTTCAAGTGTACTGCAGCTGCAAAACTAACATATGATCCAAAACAGCATTGAAAAGAGAAGGCAAATTCATCTAAAAACTAGGGCTGTCAAGCAATTAAAAAATGAATTGCTGTTAATCACATTAATTGGACTGTTAAACAGTAATAGAATGTCAATTACTAGAAGTAAATTGATTGGAAAACAATTTAAAGAGCAATGATGTTAATCAATTCACATGCTTACACCTAAGAGTGAAATTAGATTGCTGATTAGGCCTAATAAAGCACTTTTGCTTCTTTCGTTTATTGTTCCACTTTGCTTACAGCATAAATGAATGTTTTGAATATTCTTTGAAAACTAAAGCTTCAGAGGGGTAGCTGAGTTAGTCTGTAACAAGAAAAACTTAAACAACAAATAGTCTGGCAGCACTTTAAAGACTAACAAAACATAGATGGTATCATGAGCTTTTGTGGGTACAGCCATTTGAAAACTAAGTAACTTTCAAAATCCATGTTGTTTTTCTGTTATTAGTGTGAGCAGCAATATCACTATTAGGCATAAACAATCATAATCGAAGTAATTATTCCTATACTAATGTACTTATTTAGAAAGTATCTGTACTAGGGATGTTAAAATGAGGTTAATTCACTAATCAAGCAGTCAATCGAATTTTTCAACTAATCAATTAGTTGATAGGCAGGTGGCTCAGTCCGGGCTTGTGTCAGGTGGGAGACCAAACCCTACTGCAGCTCTCCAATTTAAAACTCAGTAGGAGCTGGGAGCAGGCTGCCTGGCTTCTACTGCCTTTTAAATTGCAGAGCCTCAGCGAGGTTTGGTCCTGGACCCGGTGCAAGCCAGGACTGAGTCGGGCTGACTGACCAGCCACCAGTAGCCTCTTCCCCATCCCCAGTGTCTCTGATAGAGGCAGCAGTGGGAGTGGGAGGGACAGGCAGCACCAACCAGATGGTGCTGAGGAGAACTGGCATTTAAACTGGCTCCTTCCAGCACCAGCTCCTGCTTCCTCCCTCCCCCTCCCCACCCCCCCGCCTCTGATACAGTAGGCTTATCAGGTAGTCAGCAACTCCTTTACGTCCCTAATCTGTAGCTGAAAGACTCTAACCTTGACCGCTATACATAAACTACAACAATTTCACCTGCGTCCCATCCTGGGTCCTGCTCCCTGGGAAGACAAGGCTACTCCATTGCCTTGGCACCTTCCCCTGCTGAGCCATCTATCTGGCCAGGGTCACTGAGTCACTGCAGTCAGGTCCCTGAGGCCTGGTGCACAATGTGTCCTTAGGGCTTAACACCTTCCTACCTTCATTGTAGCCACAGGACAAGAAGCCTCTGGGATATATTACTGGCCAGCAGCAGCTTGTATGTATTAGTGCTTTTGGAAACTGTGTAGGCAGGAAGGGAGAAGTTACTTCCAGCCACAGAGAATTGGACCAGGGGTCGGGGACAGGAGGAGGGGAGAGAAGAGCTTTGCAAAGACACAGGCCAGATTATCCTTTCCCCTCTCTTTTTCCTGGTAGTTAGAAGCAGCTCCTGTCCCGTCCCTCCCACACAGTGCCGAAAGTCAGCTGCTGGCCACATTCTGCTGTGAACCCTGGCAGAAATCTGGGGGGTGGTGTGATCCTGTGTGCCCCCTCTCTCTCCACACACAAATGTTGCCTCAGGAAGGTGCAGTGCCAAGTACCACAAGGGGCAGGTCCATCGCAGGGGCCCAGGAAGGCATGGAGGGTAGAGAGCACTGGAGCGGGACAGTAGGGTTGGTTGGTCTCACTCCATGTGAGAGAGGTGTACGGGAGTGCATAAGCGTCACCTCTCTTCCTGTATGTGCGTGGGAGGGTAAGGATGAATGCCATCTCTCCTTGGGTGAACCCTACAGCCTTAAAGATAAGAAGGTAAATAAAAAGGATCCAAATATGCAGTATTTCTTTTTAACAAGGTCTCAATAAACTTAATGTTCATTTGAACGTTTGTTTGATTGATTGACCTTTGCTTGAATAAGTATAATTTTTCCAGGTGTCCCATATTTTACATAGGGAAATATGGTCACTCTAACCAGAAGTTTTCCACGATCCATAAGCAATCTGCCCTGAGCCTCAGTCACTTCTCCTACACCCATACTTGCAAACTGAGCTAAGCAGGAAGGTAACTGCTGTGTTGTAGGGACACTACAACAAATCTGGGAGTACTGCAGCTATCTCAGGGCGAGTATCATATCTATTATATCAGTTCTGAGAGACTCCATTTATACACTGGATAACAAAGATGACATGATCACCACCAAAAATCAATATATAGAAGTGATCTCAGTGTAATTCAAGTCTCATATCTGCAAGTAGCTCTACCCTGGAAAAACCCTATCCTCTGTTATTCCACACAGTAGCATAAACAGTTCCTTGCAGTTGATTGTTTCCAAATACTCAGCTGATTTTTCTCCTGGTAATATCAGACTATTGCCACAGAAATGACAGACATTCTATATCTCAGCCCAAACCAGATTGGTTTATATCAAATAGTCCTATTCCATGCATACGCTCATAAAGTACATCTAGTTCAGCCACCATTCCTTATCATAAAAGGGAGGTCAGAGTCTAGATAATAACTAAACAGGGTTCTTAGTTTCAACATCTGGATATTGAAAAAATACATAATGGAGAATAAGGGGCTAGATGGTTACACTCCAGAAAAGAATCTCCAGGCTATAGTGGATCACAAATAGGAGCCAATAGTGTGATGCAGTTGCAAACAAGGCTAATATCATCCTGGGGTACATTAATGGGAATGTCATAAGTACAACATAGGGAGGTAATTGTCCCATCAAATTCATCACTGATGAGGCCTTAGTTGAAGTACTGTGTCTGGTTCCGGGCTGCATACTTGAAGAAAGGCATTGAGAAATTGAAGAGTCCAAAGGAGAGCAATCAAAGTGATAAAAAGTTTTAAAAACTTGACTTATGAGGAAAGATCTTCAAAACTGTTCATTCTTGAGAAAAGACTGAGAAGGGACATAAAAACAGCCATACTGGGTCAGACCAATGGTCCACCTGTCTTCCAAAAGTGGCCAATGGTGCCTCCAGAGGGAAGGAACAGAACTAGTAATCATCAAATGATTGATTCTCCCTGTCACCCATGTCTAGCATCTGGCAAACAGAAGCTATGGACATTTCAGAGCATGGTTTTGCATCCCTGCTCATCCTGGCTAATAGCCATTGATAGACTTATCTGCCAGGAACTTATGTAGCTCTTCGTGGAATCCTGTTATATTTTGGGCTTTCATAAAAACCTTTGGCAAGCAGTTCCACAGGTTGACTGTGTGTTGTGTGACAAATTGTTTGTTTTAAACCCGCTAACTATTTATTTATTTTGGTGAACTTAGTTCTTGTCTTCTGAAAAAGAGTAAATAACACTTCCTTGTTTACTTTTTCTACATCAATCAATATTTTATAGCCCTCTATAATATCTCCTCTTAGTTGTCTCTTTTCCAAGCTGAAAGGCTCCAACCTTATCTTTCTCCACATATGGAAGCTATTCCATACCTCTAATCATTTTTGTAACCATTTTCAATACCTTTTCAAATTCCAATGTGTCTTTTTTGAGATGGGGCAACCACATCTGCAAACAGTATTCAATATGTGGATGTACTATAGAATTACATAGAGGTGCTATGATATTTTCTGTCTTATTATGTATCCCTTTCTTAATGATTCCTAACTTTCTGTTTCATTTTTTTGACTACTGCTGTGCACTGAGTGAATGTTTTCTGAGAATTATTCACAGTGATTTCAGGGTGTCTTTCCTGAGTGATAACAGCTGATAAAAAGTATTCAATAATGTTCAGGGCTCTTACAATGAAGATATTGAACAATTGTTCTTTATTTCAATTGAAGGTAGGATAAGAAGTAATTGGCTTAATTTGCAGCAAGGGAGATTTAGGTTAGATATTGGGAAAGTGTTTTGGCTCTAGAATATGCTTTCAAGAGAGTTTGTGCAATCCCTGTAATTGAAGGTTTTAAAGAACAGGTTGGACAAACACCTGTTAGGGAAGGTCTAGCTATACTTGAGCCTGCCTCAGAACTGGGGGATGGACTAGATGACCTTTTGAAGTCCCTTCAAGCCCTATGTTTTATGTTTCTATAGCCTGGTCTACACCTAAAATTTAGGTAAAACTAACTACTTCACTCAGGGATGTGAAAAATGTCTGGATTTACACTATCAGAATGGAAAATACCCTTTCATAGCTTTACTCTGCCTAGAGCTGTGCTGCTACTTGTAGATCTACTCTATGATACTCTGCCTTGGGGAAAGCAACTAAAGATTTTAGGCTCCCTTACCACATATTTTAAAAGATGATTTTTACCTGTGACCAAAAAATGCAAAAGGCTTCTCTTGCAAGTCTTGAAGCAAAACACTAGTAGTTTCATTAACAATAGTTTTCATGTCTTTTGCAAAAGGGTCATTAACCCAAGATTCTCTTCCAGGAAGCCTTATAGAGCATACTAGGGAGGAAAAGAAAATTATAGTCATTTCAGGGTACTCTAAAATTCATCTCTTTACATTACCAAAACAGAGATTAACCACACATTTTAAAATTTATTTTGCAGAAAGCAAATACAGGTTGAATCCCTTTGTTCTGGCACCCTCGGGACCTGACTGGTTCCGAATGAGGGAATTTGCCAGACCAGGAGAGGTCCACTGCTACCAGCCCCCCAGCCACCTCCCCTCCCTGCTGCTGGCCCTAGCTGCCCCACCTGCCAGGCTGCTGTGACCCTGGTAGCCTGGACTGCCACATATCTGGGTCCAGCTCCATTACCAGGGTTTCCAGGGCTGCCGCAGCCCTGGCGCCAGCTCAGCTACCAGGGCCCCAGCCCCAGCCCCACCAGGCTCCAAGCTTCCAGCTCTCTTGCCACTGGGGCTCTCAGCCAGGATTCCCTGGTCCAGGATGAGAGAGTCCTGGTTTTAGGAGGTCTAACCTGTATTAACAACCAGTTATGTAAAGGAAGGTTTTTACATTAGCGACGACAATGATTAGATGAAGTTTCAACTCGGTGTGCGAAAAGTAAAGGGGAGCATGGGCTTCTGTCAAGAGCTTGGCATTAACTTTTGTTTCCCCAACTTTTTTACTGTCCAGTTTATTAGGAATGTAAAATCTTTGGGGCAAGGACTATCTCGTTCTAGCGGTCTTGACAGTACTCCTAGCACATGAGCCCCTGATTGCATTTGGGGCTTCTAAGTAATAATCAACATTTTAGTTGAAGAATAACTATATGTATGTTCTCTATAAAATACTTTCTTGTTAAAATCCTAAACTCTAATGGTAACTCTTTATCGTGCCCTTTATTGTAATCTTTTTTCTTTGCAGCCATTTTACTTATTACCCCAAGTAGAACTTGGAATCATGTATTTATTGACATGATTGTATGTCCCTTTCAGTTGCTTGGTCTTCAAAGGACCATCCTCGGATTTTTACCCTACTGTTGTGTAGGGCAATAGAACAATGGGATAGCTGTAAAAAGGTGTTACTGTTTTTCATTCTCCTTTTCACAGGACATGTTCTTCAAAGGTCACATAGAAGCCAGATCATACACGCCAAGAAAAAAAGACTGTATTTGAAATAAACCAGGTAGCAGGACAAAAATATACGGTCAGGCTTTTTATAACTTTTTTGAGCACAGTTAAGACAGTTCTGAAAGCGCATGCTGCTCTCTGAATTTTACTCAACAGTAGCTGCAATTGTTCTAAGGCCTCCCTCTCCCAGTAGCTTTGCTGGAAGTATTCCCGTCTAAACAGAAGACTTTTTTTTTCACTTCAAGGAAAATTGGATGTGACTGGCACAGCAATTCACTGGAGGTATTCAGAGTTGAGTGGACTGGTTTTATTTCAATGCTAATGTTCTTATGTAATGCCAGATTATTCTTTTCTTTGTGAAAGGTCTGGAAAATAGCCATGGCTTCTCCCCTTCAAAAAGTGCAAGTATGAATCTTTTCCAGGGCTGATATAACACGATAGCCATGGGAATTACTTCACTCTGTAGCAAAATGCCATTTTACTGTTACAAAGCCATTGTGTGACATTGGTTTTGATACAGGGAATATAGGATCATGCAGAGAAGTGTAGCCAACTGCAGTTCATTCTGCACAGGAAAAGGCTCTGCAGATACCCAGCATACTAAAATGGATTTGTAAATATTCCTTTTTGAGCAGTTTGTTGCATGTACTTTTTAAAATATAACCAAACATATTATTGTGTTGCTGCTGACCAATTAAACAGATCTGTTTCTGAAACAGCCAAGACTGTATTAGCTTTGAGAAGGAAATTGAGTTGAAGGTGGATATATTCATGTATTGAATCCAAGTACTGTACTTAGGACCTGGTTTGGGGTGGCATAGGAGCTAAGGAAGCTCAACATCCCAATGGAGGTATTAAGCACCTTGAAGGGAAGAGCCATGGCCAGAACACTATTAGAAAGATAACTCAGCAGTCTTTACTAGTGCTGACATATTCTGTTTAAGGTCTGACCCCTCTGTACATTAGTATCCTGTCTAGATGGCCATCTTTATTAAACTATACTTTCATACACAAAATTACTGACCTTCTATTGCGTTGTCAAAGAGTTTACCCCATTTTGCAAAATGAGTAGCTCCATTCGGCTTCCTTGATCACGGGGTGCTCTTCCAGGAAGGACTGCTTGGCAGAGTTGGAGTTCACCTTTCCAGGAGCGGGAAGGCCTTGTTTGGACACAGACTGGCTAACCTAGTGAGGAGGGCTTTAAACTAGATTCGACGGGAACAGGTGAGCAAAGTCCACAGGTAAGTGCTGAATGTACGGGACTGGGAGATGGATTGGAAATGGGGGGGACTACGGCCTATAATGGCAAGGAAAAAGGAGGGTCAGGGCACAACAGGGAGGCAAGATCAAATCAGTATCTTAGATGCCTATATACAAATGCGAGAAGTATGGGTAATAAGCAGGAAGAACTGGAATTGCTAACCAATAAATACAACTATGATATCATTGGTATTACAGAAACCTGGTGGGATGGGACGCATGATTGGAATATTGGGCTGAGTTTGGAAGCAGAGAGAGCAGGGGACACTGCCCCCCTAGTCTTTTAAAAGAAGAATGAACAGTTCTTCCCTGTTCATGTTTTTGTTTCTTCAACAGGGAAGAGTGGGCAGGTCTAAGACAAACATGCTGAGCACATTCTGTCAGGAAGGACAGACAGGGAAAAAAGGGAGGAGGGGTTGCCTTGTATATTAAAAATGTACACACTTGGACTGAAGTGGAGATGAACGTAGGAGATAGCTGTGTAGAGAGTCTCTGGGTTAAGCTAAAAGGGGTAAAAAACGAGGGTGATATCATGCTAGGAGTCTACTACAGGCCACCTAGCCAGGTGGAAGAGGTGGATGAGGCCTTTTTTAAACAATTAACAAAACTATCCAAAGCCCAAGATTTGGTGGTGATGGGGGACTTCAACTATCCAGACATATGTTGGGAAACTAACACAGCGAGGCACAGGCTATCCAATAAGTTTCTGGACTGCATTGGAGACAACTTTCTGTTTCAGAAGGTTGAAAAAGCTACCAGAGGAGAAGCTGTTCTGGATTTGGTTTTAACAAATAGGGAGGAACTAGTTGAGAACTTGAAAGTGGAAGACAGTATAGGGGACAGTGATCATGAAATAATAGAGTTCATGATCTTAAGGAAAGGTAGAAGGGAGACCAGCACAATTGAGGTTATGGATTTCAGGAAGGCAGATTTTGATAAGCTCAGAGAACTTGTAGGTAAGGTCCCATGGGAAGCAAGACTGAAGGGAAAAACAACTGAGGAGAGTTGGAAGTATTTCAAAGGGACGTTGTTAAGGGCCCAAAAGCAAACAATTCCGCTGTGTAGGAAAGATAGAAAATATGGCAAAAGACCAGCTTGGCTTAACAAGGAGATCTTGCATGATCTCAAAATAAAAAAGGAGTCATATAAAAAATGGAAACTAGGACAACTAACAAAGGATGAATATAGGCAAGCAACACGGGAATGCAGGGGCAAGATTAGAAAGGCAAAGGCACAAAATGAGATCAAACTAGCTACAGGCATAAAGGGAAACAAGAAGACCTTTTATAAATACATTAAAAGCAAGAGGAAGACCAAGGACAGGGTAGGCCCACTGCTTAGTGAGGAGGGAGAAGCAGTAACAGGGAACTTGGAAATGGCGGAGATGCTCAATGACTTCTTTGTTTCGGTCTTCACCGAGAAGTCTGGAGGTGTGCCTAACGTAGTGAATACAAGCAGAGAGAGGGTAAGTTTAGAAGATAGGATACACAAAGAACAAGTTAAAAATCACTTAGGAAAGTTAGATGTCAGCAAGTCACCAGGTCCTGATGAAATGCATCCCAGGATACTCAAGGAGCTGATAGAGGAGGTATCTGAGCCTTTAGCTATGATCTTTGAAAAATCATGGCAGACAGGGGAGATTCCAGAAGACTGGAAAAGGGCAAATATTGTGCCCATCTATAAAAAGGGGAATAAGAACAACCCAGGAAATTATAGACCGGTCAGTTTAACGTCTGTCCCAGGGAAGATAATGGAGCAGGTAATTAAGGAAATCATATGCAAACACTTGGAAGGTAATAAAGTGATAGGGAATAGCCAGCATGGGTTTGTGAAGAACAAGTCATGCCAAACTAATCTGATAGCTTTCTTTGATAGGATAACGAGCCTTGTGGATAAGGGAGAAGCGGTGGATGTCATATACCTAGACTTTAGTAAGGCATTTGATACGGTCTCGCATGATATTCTTATTGATAAACTAGGCAAATATAACTTAGATAGGGCCACGATAAGGTGGGTGCATAATTGGCTGGATAACCGTAGTCAGAGAGTTGTTGTTAACGGTTCTAAATCCTGCTGGAAAGGGATAACAAGTGGAGTTCCTCAAGGGTCTGTTTTGGGACCCGTACTGTTCAATATCTTCATCAATGATGTAGATATTGGGATAGAGAGTACTCTTATTAAGTTTGCAGATGATACCAAACTGGGTGGGGTTGCAACTTCTTTGGAGGATAGGGACATAATTCAAAATGACCTTAGCAAGTTAGAGAAATGGTCAGAGGTAAACAGGATGAGGTTTAATAAGGAGAAATGCAGAGTGCTCCACTTAGGAAGGAACAATCAGTTCCATACATACAAGATGGGAAGCGACTGTCTAGGAAGGAGCATGGCGGAAAGGGATCTAGGGGTCATAGTGGACCACAAGTTGAATATGAGTCAACAGTGTGATGCTGTTGCAAAAAAAGCAAATATGATTTTAGGTTGTATCAACAGGTGTGTTGTAAGCAAAACTCGTGAAGTCATTCTGCCGCTCTATTCTGCACTAGTTAGGCCTCAGCTGGAGTACTGTGTCCAGTTCTGGGCGCCACATTTCAAGAAAGATGTGGAGAAATTGGAAAGGGTACAGAGAAGAGTGACAAGAATGATTAAAGGTCTAGAGAAGCCTATGAAGCCAGGCTTCATGAACTGGGCTTGTTTAGTTTGGAAAAAAGAAGATTAAGGGGGGACATGATAGTGGTTTTCAAATATCTAAAAGGGTGTCACAAGGAGGAAGGTGAAAATTTGTTCCTCTTGGTTTCTGAGGACAGGACATGGAGTAATGGGCTTAAAGTGCAGCAGGGGAGGTTTAGATTGGACATTAGGAAAAAATTCCTAACTGTCAGGGTGGTCAAATATTGGAATAAATTGCCAAGGGAGGTGGTGGAATCTCCCTCTCTGGAGATATTTAAGAACAGGTTAGATAGACATCTGTCAGGGATGGTGTAGACGGAGCTTGGTCCTGCCCTGAGGGCGGGGGGCTGGACTCGATGACCTCTTGAGGTCCCTTCCAGTCCTATTATTCTATGATTCTATGACTTCCAGCCCAGGGGAAGCAAATCAGCCTAAAAAGTGCATTAGGCCTTCTATATAGACAAGCAACAATCTTCTCCATAGCTGATGAAAAACAGATCTGCATTCAAGCTGTCAAAACTGCTAACACTGTCACCTGCCTGTTGGGAAAAAAATCATTTCATGTATTTATTTATTTATTTTAAATCCCAGCAGGCTGGTCCTAAAGCATTTGTCAAAGTGCAAGGGAGAGGAGACCATCTTAATTATTTGCTTGCTTGTTTTCACACAAAGCTGTGTCTAACCCGTAAAATTGGTTAAAAAGAAAAATAGCATTGATACAAACTGGATATCTAAATTTTAATTGCTGAAACAATATTGGAAAGCCCAAGTTAATACATTTGCAAGCTCCCATTCTTTAGGGATGGATACAGATGAACCTCTAATAGAAGTGAAATCAACATCATCATTTTTCCCCCTCTTAGTCCACTGGGGGGGGAGGGAAGCAACAAAGGTTATGTTTTCTATTCCAGATCTTGCTAACATGATGAAAGTGGTACTGGAGGAAGTTTTAGTAGAATCATTTCTACTAGTTGACCCACTGGTCAGCTTTATAATATTTTTTTCAGGAGTTGATGATTGTTCTAAAGTTGTTGTCAGTTGCAAGTCTCAGCTAAAATTAATTTAATAACTACAGATGTTTTGGCATCCCCAAGGAATGAACCAGGGGAGGTCAATGCTGGCCCCTCTGTTTCTTGCCTCTGGGCTCTTCTGGGAGGTGCCAGCCTCTCCGCCATCAGGTTCCAATCCTGGCTTCCACCCCCTGCTCCCCTACTGGCCACTGACTCCATTCCCAGCCCTGTCCAGGCTCACTACAACTGGGCTCCCAATCACTAGCCCCAGCTCTGCTCCCGAGCCTGGCCAGGCTCCCAGCTGCTAGTTCCCCCGCTGATGGCTGGGATTCCCACCTGCCCTGGCTCCATTCCTGGCCCCAGCCTGGCTCCTGGTCATCAACTCTGCTTTGCTCCTGCCCTGCCAGTCCCCATCCACCAGCCCAGTTGCACTCCTGACCAAGCTGGGCTCCTGGTTGCCAGCCCTTTTGCTGCCGGCCCAGCTCCGCTCCTGGCCCCAGCTAGGCTCCTGGCTGCTCCTATCCTCCTGCTGCAAGACTCCTAACCAGCCCCCACTCCCAGCCACTAGGGCTCTCTGGTCAAGCAACTTCTGTGATGTTCCCAGATCAGAAAGTCACATATTAGAGAGGTTCATCTTGTACAGTGAGTGACAACAAGTGTTTATTTATTACCCTATCTTATGGAAGGGGAAAACAAATACATTTATTGCCTTTCACAGTCCAAAGTCTGCTAATCCGGCCCATGCTTAGCAAATACCAAAAGTTGTAAAGATTAACTTACACTCAAAACACACTGATGAACCCGATCTACCTGCAAACTAAGCACAACCTGGAAGAATATTTGTTTTCAGTATTTCCTGTATTATTGAGAAGAAAATTAGCTGATTTTAGGACTGAATGTAAAGACCATAGGAACAATTGTTACTCTTGTTTCCTGATTTCTTTGTCTCTACTCTTGAGGTTCAGGTTTTGCAGATATCATGAATGAGGATAATGTGCACTAGTTACAGTGTACAAGGGAAATGTTCCATTAGTATGTTATTAATTCTCTCAATTTGATACTTCTAATTCTACCAATATTCAAGCACAGGGATGTATCACTAAATGAAAGGACTGTTTACAGCCACATGCACAGCTTTTTAAAAAGGAGAAATAGATTAGAAGCTATACTGCTGAAAGAACACAGTTATTGTTGTGGAGGCCAAATATAGGGACCAATTGTTTTCTTTTTTTGTCACCAATTTTGTAACAACATATGTTCATTTTATTCGGTGGAGTTACTCACAATTTACACAGGTATCAACAGAAGACAAACCAGGATTTTTTTTTCACTCTTTCTTCCACCAAAGATCAATGTTTGAAAAAAAATGTACTGGCTCCCAAAGTATTTATACTGGTCTTTTAGTCTATTTATAGTTTAGGTGAGTAATGAGATGTTAAACTGAAAAAAAAATCACCAAATAAAAAAATTGCAGTCATATATTTTTTGTTATGTTTCATTATGGTAAAATGTTGAATTTGTTTTTTCGTTTTTTTTTCTATGTTTTTGATTGGTTGGGATTTTGGGGAAAAGGCTTTTAAACATTTTCTGCTGGACTTTGTCTGCTCTGAATCTGTATGGAAGAATGAAGATCTGGTGAATTACACTATCACACAAAACAATTAAATGAAAGACAAACAATCGAACTAGAAAGTGATTTTAGTAAGATTATTTAAAACTTTGCCTTTTGTTGCCTTTCTTAACATTTATTCACTTCTATTTATTCACTTCTATCACTTAACATTTATCCACTCCAGGGGAGGAGCCAGAATGCTCACAAATGGCACTACAGATGGGAAAGCAACAAGAAGTGGAAATGCTGGTAAACAATTGTGGAGTATCTCACATAACACAAAGCACTTGACAAGGGTATGCAGAGGTCAGAATCACGTTCAATCTTACGCCAAGCTATTTTAAAAGTGCACCAGACTCACACAAAGACAATCATATAGCGGAATATCATAGGATTTAAGCCAAACAATATCCCTGCGACAAACCCCATTGCCAACTCCATCCACACATCTACCCTAGGGACATCATCACAGGACCTAACCACATCCATTATACCGTCAAAGGCTCGTTCACATGCACATCTACTAATGTAATATATGCCATCATGTGCCAGCAATGCCTCTCTGCCAGGTACATTGGACAAATTGGATTGTGTCTATGAAAAAAATAAATGGACACAAATCAGACATCATGTATGGAAACATACAAAAACCAGTGAGGGAGCACTTTATCGTCCCTAGACACACAGTTACTGACTCACAAGTTGCCATTCTCAAGCAAAAAAAAAAAAACCCTTAAAAAACAGATTGCCATGAGAAACTGCTGAACTAGAATTCATATGCAAATTTGAAACATTAAAGGAGGTTTAAATAGAAACATGGAATGGCTCTCTCATTACATTAAGTAATTTTCCCTTCTCATACTCTCACCTTCTCATCACTTTTGGAAGAGAGCCATATCTACCCTGATCTAATTAGCAATGATATCACTGTTTCTTTTCTTTTCTTTTCTTTTCTTTTCTTTTCTTTTCTTTTCTTTTCTTTTCTCTGAAGAAGTGAGTTGTATTTCACAGAAGCATATGCCCGAATAAATTTGTTAGTCTTTAAAGTGCCATCAGACTCCTTGTTTTTTTCATTTAGGAGGGTAAGCTGTTGTATATGGTTCAACTAGAGGGACAGACTTAATATATCTGGATTGGCCAGGAGTAGACTGGACAATGTAGAACATATTGGGGCCAACGGTGACTGGGAGTGTATTGGGTCACCCTGTAAATGGTAAATCAGGCTTCTAGAAGCCAGAGGGTTTGCAGTGCATGCTGACAGACTGCTGGGTTCAGAGCTGCTGGATCAGAGTCATAGCTTTACATAGACACATCTGGGTGTGACCTTCATACTGACAGGCTGTTTATGAATAGTCCAGGTTGGGAGCTACAGCAGCAAGGCACTGCAAGGCACTCCAGATTGCAGGGCAGGGATGACACTGCCTCTCAAGTCTGACTTGCACCCTCAAGTGTTACAGATGCCAAAACCCATTATTTACATCTGAAACAATAAAGATTCTGGCTTTGGAAAGTTCAGGTAAGTTGTCATCAGTTTTGAGTGGTGGCCAGTGGAATCTTTTCACTTGGTTCAGTGGCTTTAGGTCTATGCTGATGCACAATTTGACTAATGGCTTCTTTACCATCTCCATGCTGCAGACAGGAGCTATGATAACCATGCTCTACACATTTCAAGCTCCTGGTGTAATGGATTACTTAGTAATTGGATTACTTAGTGCCACTGGAAAGTTCCTTTGTGGTGAGTCCAAAAGTTTCACTGTAGATGGAATCTGAGACCTATGCAAATGTCTGTAATAATGTCAGCCTCTATGGTCCACTCTTGTATCCTTTGACAGGCTTGCCAGATTGACGCATTGATGAAACTTGAGTGGCATAGTGAGAGTCTGCACAATCTGAGGTCTTGCCTTGGAAAGCGTTGGCTATTATAGGTATATACTGTACCACTGTTCTAGTGGAGTTGCAGCCTTTATTGGCACAATTTTTCTTTGCTGGTATAGTTTATACCAGGCAGCTCCCAAAATAACATAAGCCATGCCAGTAAAAGGACTTTTCTGCCAGTATAACAATGTCTATACTACAACTTTCACAAATATAGCTTTATCAGTTAGAAGAGTGATTTTTGTCACATTCCTAACTAACATAGGACTATCTCCAAAACATCTTGGGTGCGTCTAGACTGGCCAAGCTGTCTACACTGTCTACACTGGCTGCTTGAATTTGCGCAAGAGCACTGACTTTGTAATGTACAAAATCAGTGCTTCTTGCGCAAATACTTTCACGCTTCCGCTCAGGAAAAAGCCCTCTTGCGCAAGAATACTTGTGTAAGAGGGCCAGTGTAAACAGGGAAGAACTGTTTTGCGCAAAAAAGCCCCAATGGCGAAAATGGCGATCGGGGCTTTCTTGCGCAAAATCGCGTCTAGACTGGCCATGGATGCTTTTGCACAAAAGCAAATCTTTTGTGCAAAGGCACTTGCCAATCTAGACGCGCTTTTGCGGAAATACTTTTAACGGAAAAACTTTTCCGTTAAAAGTATTTCTGCAATATCATGCCAGTCTAGACGCAGTCCTTAAGTTTAGATCAGGTCTAAGCTTCCTCTCCTTTTCTTTCTTTTTCAAAGTAAGCTTCGGTTCCTCTCAGTTGTGAAGATAATCTCACCTAAATCACATTTGAAAGGTTACCTTCTCAAGTGTAAAAGGTCATGCCTACCCTGTAGCACTACCTTCTGGCCTAGCATGACTCTGCTGAGGCCTGCTTCAGTTTTCCCTTCAATGAGACAGCAATGGGTTCACTTGCCACCTGACTGCGCCAACAAACTGCTAGATTCACCTTCCCCCCTCCACCCCGCAACTGGCTAACCAGTGGATAAAAAAGGGATAACTAAAGATTCCACTGATCATGTCATTGTACAAGTTTGTTTATTGACCAGCACAACTGGGCCCTGATCGTGATTGGAGCTTCTGGATGCTGTAGCTGTTTACTTTTTAATTTACCCATGGGATTGTATCCTTTTCCCAGATGTGGATGTGGTCCCATGACCTAGGTCCAATAAGTACAAACAACATGACTATGTGCAAACAAGAGTTTTAAATAAATTTGTATAAGCCATATAAACAAGGATCATAGTAGGAGCATTTGTTGCAGCCCCTGACAGGTTCTCTGAATCTACGAATCTTGTAGAACACTTACCACTCCCATACAACCAAAGAATGGCATGCCTCCAGACTGATGCAGTCATCAGCATAACTGATTGCATGTACCTGAAAATCGACACAGGCATCAGTGTCATTCAAAAGACTGGTCTGGCACTGACAATAATATCGGCAAATGTCAAGGGCCCTTGGGTGCCAAATATAATCTTATAGCCAAAATGTGCACTGACTATACAGGCAGTCCCCGAGTTACGCGGATCCGACTTATGTCAGATCCGCAGTTACGAACGGGGATTTCTCACCCCGGAGGACTGGAGCGGCGGGACGCCTGGTCCCGCTGCCCGCCTTCTCCAGGGCGAGAAAAGCTGCTCCCCGTCTCCCTGGTCTGCTGGGGGGGGACGCAGCTAGTGCTGCGGGGACGCAGCTGGGCT